CACACACTCACACACACACATTGTAAGGCGTACTCTGCTGTTTAATGCTGCATATGTAACTCTGCGTTGTAAATACTGTAAAACAGAAAAATATCTGTTGGAGGTGACATTTAAATTGAACTGGTTTTGACTGTTCTGTGTCGGGTAGTAAATGTACGTGTGTATATATTGAGTGAGTGCTGTTAAAGCTGTGCTAACTGTATGTTAGTGTACGTATCAGGGTTTTTCTTTGGTTTTAGTCAGTTTAGTTGTCCTTGTCCAGCAGTACAGTGAATGAGGACTCTGGAGTTTGAACAGTTGCCTGATGGGGGCGCCAGGTTTTAATTTTGCAGAGCTGTGCTGTTCCACCACAATACACTTAGGTTAAAGCTGGAGGAACGATGATTACAGACGTCCATACATGCTTTATTTGTAGATGTTAACTTGTGCTCAGTGGGAATCCTGCAGTGTAACTCATTCCCGGCAGCAGTTAGATATTTAGACCTACACCAGGGCCTTCAGCCTCTGTTTCCTCTGCTGGTTGGATCTGATCTGAACCTTTTCTGTCCGAGATACAGTTGCAACGGAGCACTTTATTCATGCATGGCTTAGATTTTTGCGTGATTAGTGTCCGTAAGTCCGTATTCAGCCATATAAATGTTTGTTTTTGTTTTTTTATCACCGTCATAGGCATGATAATAATCTCTGTACAACCAGTCTAATCAAAATGTCTGCATTTGCTATCAAGGTAATAGTATTGTGAAGCAAAGGTGCATTTTTCCACAGTAAACAATAGTCATAACATAAGCAGAAGCCAAAAAACTCACCAGTTAATTAAAGGAAATGCTAAGTAGTAATTGCCTTGTATTTATTACACCTATACACACATACACCCATGTTACAGACACAACTGGGTCAACATAGCAACACAGACATAGCGTACAGAGACCCAATGGTTCCACGCCCAGTGTTAAAGCTTAAATGCTGGTTTTCAAGAGAGTCATAGCACAACAACAAAAACAACAGCTAGTTCGAGCCAGCATTTTTATGTGTCTTTTTAGTGATGCTTTTTCAAAACATAAGGCTTGTGGAATTCATTTAGAAGTCCTGAATGAGGGAACAACGCTACAGAAGCTCATATATTATCCTTATGCAATAAACAAACACTAAGCACGCATCCATGTTACATTTCCAAACTCTGATGATGAGAAAAAGACTTGAATTTGCATTTTATTAGGCAGGAAACCCCTGTTACTTTACAGTAGCAGTATTTCAAGACTGTTTGAAAAAACCTTCAAATATGAATTAAAGTATTCGAGCTGTGCTTGATTATCTTCCGTCTCACCCTCTGAAGTTGGAAGATTAAAGAGCAAAATAACATTATAGCTCAAGCAAGTGGTCCTCAGCTACTGTTGTATGATACTGTAAAACAAGCTAGTGCCTGCTTCAGTGTAATTAGTGCCTGTAAGTCAGTTCTCTACTGGTGTGTACTGTATTTATTACTGTAATATTGTTCTTTACATTGTACAATGTGATAATGTATGTTCTTGGCCTTGAAAATAAACCTAGTAGATAATGTAAAACATGTTTGGTTGCGTTTTTGGTCTTTTTTTATTAAACTTCAGTGATTCATGATGATCTCTAACTAGTTTTTAGCTTTGCTCTCCGACTGTCTGCTGGTAAAATGGAAGACTTCCATGCTGACATATGGTCAGTGTTTGGGAAGAATGTGCATACAATGGAAGATCCCTGTTGACAAAAAGGAGGAACTGAAGTATTGTTCAGGTTTTGAGATAACCGCGAGATGAACATCTGGTTGAGCTTGGCCGAGGTCGCTAGGTCTGATGGCTCCACAACGTTTACAAAAACTTCCTTAAATTATCAAAATCCCTTGTCATTTATTGATTTTTGTTATCAATATTAATGTTATCTTCTTTGAAAAACAATAAACATAATTTAAAACTATTAACAATTTGTCTGAACTGGCTCCTTCAAAAGGGACCTGAAAGAGTCCTGATACAGTACGACTTTAACCTTTCTCCACCACTGCAGATGAAACGTGACCATGTCAAACTAAAGACCTTTAGTCTTGTAACAAATTTTGGATTCCGACCAGTTTAAGAAATGCTGACTTGACAAAGAAGTTGAATGAGTGTCTCAACTGGCAGCTTAATGTGCTTTATTTGAAAGGCAGCCAACAGCACATCTGTTCTCCGAGTGTGTCAGGTAATACTTAACACTGTCACACTTCACAGGCTTGTCACGCAGTGTGTCTGTGATTTTTATCACTTATGTCTGTCTGTTTGTTTGTGGTCCCACTAGTACTGAAATGTAACCATATTTCAGTGGGACATGTTGTACTTTTTATTTTATTATGTTTATTTGACAGCTGTTACTAGTTTATTTCAGCCATTTACCCTACTGTTTCATGTCAAAATGTCTGCTGTGAAAAGGGTGTATTTGTTAAAGATAAACCAGTGGCGGGTCTAGTTTGGTCAGATTGACGTTTATGAGTTGTTAATGGGACTATTCCCATCTAAATGATTTTTAAGATGGTTTAATTTCAATAATGTTTGAATCCCAAAGAGATCAAATGATCCAAAAATGTACTAAAAAGATTATAGAAAAGTCTAAAATATGAGCAGAAACTTCAAAATCACTTTCTTTACTGAACTTTAAGCATCTCATTGCCCCTCCAGTTTATTTTTTGTGACCCTTTGGAGGGGCCGACCCCTAAGCTGGGAACTACTACGACTAAACTACTAAACTCCACAGTATAAGGTAGTTAAATCTAGCTCCACTGACCACCACTTACACACTGACAATCTAATAATGTTAAATATGATATATGATTTGCAGAACAAGTGCTTTTATTTTGATACTTCTGTTCTTTTACTTAAGATTTTAAATGAATAACTTTTACTTGTAGAGGAGTATTTATATAATTATATGTAATTATATATTGTGGTATTGTTCCCACCAGCCTACCTAATTCTATGTTGTAGGTTTTCTCCAGTTCCACCACATCAAAATCAACACTTACCATCCGACAGTACCAAAACCCTAACTTGTCCCTGCTTGACAGTGACCATGGCAACCAGCTCCCGGCGTCCGGTACCGTCATCGGTGATTACCCACGTGGGCGGAGAGTCTCTAGCCTCAACACAGCTGAGGTTTTTACAGGCCTGTGTGACTGACAGCTGTAACGCCCTTGCCTGCTTGTTGACTGTATATGGAGAGTTGGGGTGGTGTGAGTCTACCTCATCGCCCAACGCTCACTCACATGGGGCTTGTAAGATGAAGGTAGGAGGTGAGTAAGGGAAGCTGAAGTTATAGAGCCAGACACACACTGTCGTTTGATCCAAAATGATTCACTCACAGACGCCTGTAGACTACCTGTGCCACCAGAAAGTAGTTTTATTACTATAAGAATCATCATCTGCACTGTCACGCTTTCACCCCTCCAGTAACACTTCCCGCACTTCATTTAATGCGTCTGTTTGTGCATGTGTGTTTTCTTAATGTTGGTATGTCCTCCCACAGGATGCCTGCGTGTGCATGTGCAAGAACTGTACATCCTGAAGTTGATATGGGAAAAACAGGTATGTAGATAATTACCCAACACAAACACACAC